GTATAAAAAGATTTCTTTACTGTCATACTTCTCAGACCTTTATGCTGCTCTTTAAGAAAGCCACACCATATACATACACAAGATCCAAACATTTAATTACAGAATCCTTATTTTGCAGAACACCACATAAAATTAGTGTTCCATAGAAAACACTGGTTTAAAACTGCTCTCCCACAAAAAATCTCCTTCCGATTTCTTTAGCTCTCAATACTTAGGTGAGTTGTCTCACCAACTATATTAAATTCTTTGAGGCTGTCTTGTTCTATCACTTTACACAGTACGTGCTTTTAGTTTGATTACTCTCACAGGGTGAAATTGAAGTGAAAAAGATTAACTGGAACTTCACAAGGTTTCCACCAAAAGCCACTGAAAAAGATTATTATGAATCAGGACCACCTGTGAACCAGTATGAACGGATCTGACTCACAGATAAATTGTAATAAAGCAGTATTAATCTTTGTTAATATCTCCAAACCTGCTAAGTTTTCATGTAGATAAGATACCTGAAAATAACAGGCTCATTGGAAAAAATCCTACTTTTAAATTGCTCAAGTAAACAAACTGTTTATCTTAACTTTATACTGAGTTGAATAGCTCCATCTACTGAGATGGAAAAACTGATTTAGAAACACAGAAAATCTGAATGTACATACACTTCTAGTTACCCAGGAAGGGTAACTAAATTAGTTTATAGTGCTCCAAAGTATAATCCAGGGGTCACTGAATATCTGATTCTAAATCTTCAGATTGAATACATACAAAAGACATATTTCAGGATGCAGTAAATTAAAGAACTCACATTTCTTAACACCAATCACCGAATAACAGTATGTTGCTAATTTTTTTACATACAATGTCTCTGAAGTTAATGAAGTCAAAAATAAGACACATGCCCCCTTTTTATGTTAATATATTATAAAGCAACACAGTACAAATGCTGTGGTCTGTATTAAAAAGGATCCAAATTTTTCAAGCAATTAATTTTTATAAACAATTCTGCAATGAAAGGGAAAGAATATCTTGATACATAAATTTTGTTAAAGACTTTAAAATTTTAAAATCAGAAAATGTTAAGATTAAATTCTTTCAAATGTTCAAACAAAAAAGCAACCTGTACAATCTCCATAATAAAATGCTTTGTACAGAAGTTCTAGAAATTTTGAAAATGTTAAAAAATTTTAGAGTTTGAGTGATAGAGGCAGCACTTAAAGACTTCCATGAATCTTTCTTCCAGAAAAGTATACTTTCAGTAAAACATTTTACCACTTTATCCATGTTTTGGCATTTTTGTTCTTCCTGGAAAAGGGGATTTACATCAACACTGCATTTTTTTTTCTTATGGCTGGCAGGTATGGGATCCGAACCCATGATTTTGGGGTTATAAGGTTGAGCTTGAACCAACTGAGCTAACCAGCCAGCCCCCAACACTGTATTTTTAATGTAAAAATATACATGTAAAATATTTAACTTCCTGAGTAACTTTAGTCATACAAAATGATTTAATGGACAAATTATAAATTTTTAGAATGAAACAGTACATGTAGATTTACACGAATATATTCTATTAGGGTAAAACTTAAAAAGAGCATGCCACAGAACTGATACTTAAGTTCTCGAAGAAGTTATGCAATATGATTTATCCCCAAACTGTACCAATAAGCTTTCTAAAATGAAATGTTAGTAAAATGAATCACTGAAAAGTTGTATTTTCTAACATATTCACGAAATACTCATATTCATTTCAGACTATCAACTTGGATGTTTTCTGTTATATACACTGAAATCTGATTTGCTAACAGAAATTTCTCATAATACAAAAAAAAAATAATTAAAATATTTGCTTTATAGTACAACTAATCTATATAATTTGCCCCTTCCTACACTATCTAAAATGATTAAGAATTTAGGCATTTTTGCATAAAACTCTTTCTTCTTCATCAAAACCTGAGGTAAAAGGTTATTAGCGTAATAAAATTGGAACCACGATTCTTTTCATTTCTGTATTAAACTGTAGCTATAGGTTTTAAAAAATTTATAAAGAAATGCAGCAACTTGTAAAGCTGCTCTGTACAGTTTTCAACAAAATATTTCCAGAATTTAGGCAAAAGGGTCTAAAATGACTCTATAAAAACGATGTCCTTTGAACACTCATTAGTGTCGAGATGAGCGCCATTTTCCATCTCTACTACTGTCTCTTCTGTTGTCATAGTCATGGCTCCAGCCATCATGATTCCTATCCTCATAAAAAAAATCATCTCTGCTTCCTCTGTAATGATGGTCAGACCCATGGTCAGTATAACGCTGTTCACGGCTATAATGTCTATCTGCAGGGTAGGGATGAGAATTCTGTCTGACTTTGCGCTGTGATGGTGTATCTTGACGCCACTGGGAGCTTGAAGATTGGTTAAAAGTATGACTATGTGACTGAACTGATGGTGAAAATCCCGATGAATCCAGATGTGGAGAACCAACTTTTCCACCATATGACATTTGTCTCAAAACACTGTTCATCTGAGGGAAGAGAAAAACAAGAAAATGTTAACTGCAAATACTTCTAGATAAAGCCAATATTTATTCGGTCACAGTTAACCAAATGGATAATGAAGGAAAAGCAAAATCACTCTTGCATAGATGGATCCTAAGTTAAACGTAACTAAAGTAGTACAATACAATAGCTGCATTCATTCCAATGTATTCCTATGTAACATACCTGTACAAAAACACTACTTGTTGCCCTCAAGAATACAACTTAGAAGGGAAGAAGCAATACAAAATGATTATAATGGGGCTGGCCCGTGGCTCACTCGGTAGAGTGCAATGCTGATAACACCAAGGCCCTGGGTTCGGATCCCATATAGGGATGGCCGGTTCGCTCACTG